GGACACCCAGGAGAGGACCGTCCACCCTCATTCAGGACCAGGGACACACAGGAGAGGACGGTCCACCCTCATTCAGGACCAGGGACACCCAGGAGAGGACAGTCCACCTTCATTCAGGACCAGGGACACCCAGGAGAGGACGGTCCACCCTCATTCAGGACCAGGGACACCCAGGAGAGGACGGTCCACCCTCATTCAGGACCAGGGACACCCAGGAGAGGATGGTCCACCCTCATTCAGGACCAGGGACACCGAGGAGAGGACGGTCCACCCTCAGACCTGGGCCTCAGGTCTGGACTCAGATCAGTTTGAACAAAAAGTCTCAGATCTGATAGAAATGCTCTTTATTGTCTCGTGGCTCTTCACTCACATCACCTCATCATCAGCATCATCTACAGCAGCAGACATGGAAACAGCAGAGTCCGTATTTACAGCGGCAGGACAAGTTCTGACCGGCCAGTCCGACCTCCGACCCGAACGTCCAGAACCTCAACATCACGTTTAACTCTGAATTACCAGCTGAACGTTAGAATCAGCTGAAGCAGTTTGGGCATAATAAAAGATTAAATTGATTATTTAACTGATCAGTTTTTAGCTGCAAACAATCAACCAGAACCAATCGGGCCCGGGTCTGCAACCTGCGGCTCTCGGGCCGCATGTGGCCCTTCGGCCCCCCTGCAGTGGCTCCTCATAATTTAAATAGAAAACTAAATAATTTCTAAATTTAGACTGACAGTAAAAGCTGTTAAATGAAGTGACAGACTTCAGAACGAGCCTTGCTCTAAAGAGCAACGAGGATCGTTGACGTCAAGTCGAAAAAAGTCGGATGTTCTGGTTTGGAGAGCGGCCCGAAGGTCAGAACCAGCGAGTGTCGAAGTCGTGCTGCAGGTTCAACAAGAACTTAAATAAAAAGCAGAACGAAACACGTCAAAATGTAGAAAAGAGACGAAACAATCTTTGCGTCATCGTGGTTTTTCTGTCCCAGCAGCCTGTTTTTATCTCCACGGACCAACAGAACCGAACCAGAACTTCTCAGAAAACGGCTCCAGAGTCAGAACCAAAAACAATAAATCTGAACGTAGTGACGATGCTCTGACATGCCTCCATCTAGCTCATTTCATTTGACGCATCGCACAGAAACAGGAAGTAGTGAAGTCACGTGACAGGAAGTGATGTCAAAGTTTAAATCAGCTCCGAGCCGCTGGACTCAGACTCAACAGAGACCTGGACCATAAAAGACTCTGAATAAACTGCAGTAAACTACAGAAAATACATTTGGTTCATAAAAATCTGCTAAAATCAAATGTTTTTATTGTTTTTTGAAGCATGAACTGATTTTAATTTTTGTATTTCTGGTTTTCGAAGCCAAAAAGTTTCCCATCATTTTTTTTTTTTAAATCACAACTTCAGCTGTTCTGAACGCCGGTTTGAAGAAAACAGAAACTTTAAAAACAATTGTAATAAAATAAACTCTCACAGCTGCAAATCCAAAACTATTAAAGTTTGAGTTTAAAGTTTTTTTTTATTATTTAATTTAAAAACACTTCATTTATTTCATCCTCTTTTTGTTTTTGAGGCAAACTTTACGGTCAAATCAGAACAAACTGATCCGTAAAACTTTAAAAAGTGTTAAAAAGATTAAAATAAAAACGGATCGTTGCAATTGGAACCAGTTAAAACTATAAATAAGAACGCTCTGGTTTAATTTACAGCTGGACGTCCGAAGCTTTAGTCTGGGTCGATTATGGTTCAGTCTGCTGTTGATTTATTAAAACATTAAATCTGTTTGAGTGACTCGGAGCGTGAGGTGAATTTTTGTGTGTGCAGATTTAACGTCCACCCGTTACGAGGCCTGTGAGTAACAACATTTAAATTATTGACATCATCTAAGAGCTGAGGTGGTGAAAACCAGTTCCTTCCAGTGGGAAACATTCAGTGACTTCCTGTCAGTCAGTTGTTGAACATTCATCTGGATGATTCTTTACATTTTTATTTAGATTTAAAAACAAACACGCCGCTTCTGTTGGGAGGACGGGAAATAGCTGCACATCATTAGATAACGTAAGCCGAACGTCTGCTTCGGCTACGTGCGTGTGTGTGCGTGTGAGGCAGTGAGTTTTGCTGAAACGATTAAAAAAACAAGAAGTGTGGAGTTTGATCGCAGCTCAGACCGAAGCTGAAACATCGCCTGTCTGGACATGTGTTTTGTTTTGAAAGGACCAGGGTCACAGTTTGCTTCCTGCTTTTATCTGATCTTTTATTGTCACCACTCGCTCTCGTGCAAGACGGACGCCTTTCTTCCCTCTCCCGTCCTCCTGCGTTTTCGCTCTCTGTTTTGTGTATCGGAGCTTCTGTTTGCACATCTTCCAAATCGTAAACTGCTGTCATGGATCTGGTCAGCTGGACTTTCAACGCAATCGATGAAATGTTTTCAACCAAGCGACAGAGAGCCCTCATGCCCGCTGAGACGCACGTGGCAGGACACGTCGTGGATCTGATGTGCCTTTCCGTACTGTCTCAGGAGGACGCCGAAGATATTGGAATCATGTTAGCAGGGTTTCTGCTTTTTGGCACCGGTGGATAACTCTGTTATCGGCTATTAAAGAAGATGGCGGCAGCAGTTTCGGCCGTGGCAAAGCTGTCGACCCTGTCTGCAGGTTTGGTTCATGCTTTGAGTACTCAAAATCAGCTGATTTACAGCTAAACTGTAAGATGGAAGCGATTTGTGAGAATTGCAGGCCACTTGTGGCTTCTGGGATTTGCCAGCATGTTGGGACGACCTTGCAGGGAGCTAATAAGCACGGACCAGTGGAATGCCCACAAATCTGACCATTTTGGATTGAAAGTACCAGCAGGACTCAAGGCTGAGGAGAAATAACAGTCTGCCTGAAAAAAATCAACAGTTGTGCTTATCTGAATCTGACTCCCCTGTTTGGCCTTGAAGCAGGCCGACTTATCTTTTGTTTTTGCCTATCGCAAACCCACTCCTCTCGAGAACTTCTGTGAATGCTTACTAGCGCTGTACCGACTGACACCAACATCTTACCAGGACTATGGTGCTATCTGAAAGTGCTTCATGGACAAATCTCAACGTCTTGTCATCAAATGCATGTAACGTGTTTATGAATGTGCTGCTGGTAGAGATTTTTCATGTCTTAAATCGTGTCCTGATAAGGAGAAGGTGTGAAGAGATTTTTTTGTAACACCACTATCCTCTCTCTTCATGGCATTTTCCACTTTTCTTATCTAAAACGAATAAGGGCCGTGCTCTTAGGAGCAGCAGCAACGTGCACTCCGCCCATCTTTCAGACGACTGTACGAACATAATCTCACTGTGCATGAGCATGCATCAGGATATAATCTCACTGTATTTCGGTACAATGATAATAAAGCTGATTCTGATTCTTCTCATTCTATAAAAAATAAAACAAATCTAAGTTATCAGAAAAAGATTTGACGTGTTTCTGTGGTTTCCACCTTCTCTGCAGAAACAAAGACCGCTGGAGGCCGTTTGTTTAGAAGAGTCTGAATAAATCTGAGGGTTTTTTAGGCATCCTGATGCAAACATGAAGGATTCTGAATTAAAATAAAAAGTAAATGATTATTATTTTAATAAGATGTTGGTAAGCTCTGAGGTGCAGCGCCCGGACTCATGATGGCGTTCACATCCGAGACACAAACACTGAAAACCAGCGTATCGAAGGACTTCGGCTTCTGTGACGCTAAAAGGAAACGATGCTAGGTGCTAACCAGAGAAACATCAAGATCTCCACCTAATCTGGAAAAGGTGGAGGTAAATATAAATACTGTAAATGAATTATTAAATTAAGGTCATTAAGGGTCGAGTGTCACCGGGCAGCAACGGTTGCAGACTCAAAACTTTGAATCAGTTTGCTCGTATTTTGTTCCGTTTCAGGATTTCTGATTGTGGAACGACGTTTTTCAGCTGCCTGCCTCGGCCCACACCGTACGGCCTCGGACCAGAACACGAGAACCACAAACGCCTCGATGTGATCTGGCAGCTTGGTCTTTAACAGCTTCGAACCTGGAGGGAACCCTGAGGACCAGGAGTGGGAACTCTGGTTCCAGTTTGGGAGGGAAACGTTCAGCATCGGCCCGTCTGACTGCGATCAAACCGTCGACTTGTTTTTCTTTTCGGTGCTGGGAAAAGGAATGGCGTCTTTATGACATCATAGCTGGCTGAGCCAATAGGAAGGCTCCCTCTCAGAGGAGAATTTGCTCCGTCTGGAATCTGACTCTGAGTCAGAGGGAATGTAGCTTGATCTGAGGTTCTGTTTCAGGAGAAAACGGGTCTTCCTGCTGTTGGTTCTTCAGGGAGAATCACCTAAAAGCCAAGCGTAGAGCTGCAGATTCAGACACGTTCTACAAACTCACCACCACAACAAGCTCTGCAGCTCCTCTCTCTGGACATTCACCCGTTTCTTGTGCTGGCTAATAATTTTTGTGGCTCCTGATTGAAGCTGGTGTCCTGCAGCTCTAAAGGGTCAAACCGGTGTCGCGTGCAGCAGAACTCTAAAACCACGCCAAGTCCACGGCGCCGGAGACGCCTGAAGGTGACAGTCAGTCCAGCTTCCCGCCGTTCGGACCGGGAAGAGTGGGGGATTCTGGGACGCGTAGTCACCGAGGCATCAAAACAGACAGAACTTTTTCTTCAGCTGGTTTTTCTTCCAGAGAGACAGACGGTCAAAATCCTCGATGGACATCCCAAAAACGCTGAAGAACTCCTCCTGAGAAAGGTGTCGCTGCAGGCAGGAGAAGTTGAATTTATAAAAACTAACAAGTTTAAATAAATGTTGATGAGTTGTAGATTTTTACCTCCAGCCTGGTTCGGTCCACTCCAGGAGGAAGTTTGGTGCGTCCTCTGTGCGTCAGCACCAGCATCTCGTACGGATAAATCTGCAGCTGGTCGCAGGAACAAGAAGAAAACAGTCAAACGTCTGTTTCCACAGCTTCACGAGCGAGGACTTTAGGCTTTTCTGCTGAAAATCACATTTTGCTGTTGGTACCACTCAGAGAAGTGATTCAAAACATTTTTAGGATTATTTTTCAGACACTTCATTCAAGGAACGCATTGACAAAGTATTTATTCATCACATTTTGACTAAATCCAGTTATTATTTAACTGTTGTTCTTTGACTTGATCCTCGGATCAACATGACAAGTTTCTCTCCAAATACTTTATGGTTTCTCATGTAAATGTGGGCGCACAGCGTCAAAGTTTGGTTAGCAGCACAGTTTGAAGCACACGTCTACCTTTGCAAAGGTTTAAAGCATGAATTCATAAAATCCTTTAAAGAGAGATCACATGAAGTGAGGCGTGCCTGAAATAAATATTTTAGATCCCCAAGACGACCAGAACTCATATCCATCGTGTTTTTAAATTCACGTCAGAAGATTAAAGCCATTATTGTTGGTGTTTTTATGGACACTCAGACTTCATGTTTCTGTTTCCAGTCTCGTCATGAGAAGAGAGCTGGTTTAAATGAATACATTTCGGCTTTTCCTCGCAGAAAGTTTGCTCCAGTTTCAGTTTTCTGACCTTGTGTTCCAACATGCTGGGCAGGGAGTTCCCTCGGTCCATCCTGGAGTCTCCATTCTGACCCAAAAGACAAAAACAAGATTTATTTAATTAAAACAGTCTCTAATGACGAGCAGCTGATGTGAAGGTGAAATACTCAGACGTTACCTGAAGACCTGCAGAAACAGAAACAAAGTTTATTTAAATATAATTCTAAACATGGCATCAGTGTCAGCACAGAAAACACAGAGCGTTAAAATATAAAAACAATCTGAGTCATGGTTCTGACCGGTATGGGTTTTCTGGGACGAGCCGAAGTCTGCCGATTGTAGCTGAAAACAAATAGAAATCTTCAGCTGCGACTTCACCGGGCTCAGACGGACCCATCGGTTCTGACCAGAAACACTCACCCTGGACAGGCCACTCCTGGAGGATGTTGGGAAATACACCGGCTTGAAGGCATTGGACCCTGAAGACAGACAGACAAACAAACGAACAAACATCAGGACCGTTTGTTTGTTTACCAGCAGATATTTTACAGAAAGTGAATATAAAAAACTTATAAAGTAATGAATGCAGATTAACAAGTTTCACAGACTACTGTTTTTGTTGTTATTTACAACACAATTAAATCCAACTTTTCACAGTTTTGATCAGATGATGAACACAAGCTTGTATTTGTAGGAGTTGTGGTTTTTGTTCCCTGGTGTCTAGCCCCATCTGGTGTTGTGTTTATGTCTGCGTCCCCCTGATCCCCCTGTTTCTATCTTCATAGGGTTTGTGTTTCTTTAGTATCTGGCTCCATCTTGTGTCGTGTTTATGTCTTACATCCTCAGTTTCTTTCTTTGGCATCTGTGATTACTCGCAGGTGTCTTCACTTTGTCTAATTGGTGTTTGCTGTATTTAAGCATGTGTGTTCGTCTCACTCCTTGTCCTGGCATTGTCTTATGTCCACTGGTGATGACCTGTTTATTTTGTGAGTACATCCTGATCCTTGTATTTGGTTTTGCATCCCTGTCAGCTCTTTGTTTTGTTAATAATATATTTATTTTTATATATCTATCCTGAGTCCTTGCCTGCCTGCCTGCACCATTGGGTTCACCAGCACCAGCTGTTTGTGACAGTATTTATGTAAACAATCGTTGCTGCTGCAGTGATGAGGTAAATAAAACCCATGATTCAGTGTGTGTTTGTTGTGTTTCTGTGTGTGTGTTTGTTGTGTGTTTATACCGGTGTTTTGGCTTCGGTCCGGCAGAGATCGAGCTTTCCTCCTTAAAGGAGCTGCAGATTTCTCCAGCTCCTCCTTCAGGATGATTCTACCCAGATTGGACTGAATCTGACACAAACAAACAAACATCACGCAGGAGCTCTTCGGTTGTAAAATGTTGGAAATAAAGCTGCGAGTTTCACCAACTTTATTCAGCTCTTGTCTCTGAAGAGTTCTGAGTCCCCACAGCTCATCACCCTCCTCTGCCTCCTCTTCATCGCCCTGCTCCTTCTTCTTCCACTCCTTCTCTGCAGAGAGGAGGAGACGAGGAGACGAGATGACGAGATGAAGACAGGAAGAGAGACGAGGAGAGGAGGAGAAGAAACAAGGAAATGAGCGATTCATGACAAAAGCAGATTATTAGGATTTATAGAAAACATTTTCATTTCATGTGTGTGTGTGTGTGTGGGGGGGGGGGGATCGTACCGACCACAGCCAGAGAGGGGGGGCAGGGCCAGTACTCGGTCTCAATCTTGGAGGGCTGGTTCGGATCCGGAGGCTGAGCTGCAGGAAACTTTGAGGACTCAATGATCAGATCCTCGATGTGTTTCCCCTGAGGGACGGAGGAGGACGACACATCTGGACACACACACACACACACACACACACACACACACACACACACACACAGCAGGTTAAAGCAGATTAAGCGTCCTGCTGGTGTGGGGGTGCAGCTGACCCACTTCCTGTTGGCTCGTCTCCAGATGGAACTAGAGGCTCACCTTGTTTGTAGATCGGAGGCTTCCTGTAGATGTTGGAGCCGCTTTCTACGAGGAATAAACAAAAATCATTTCAATTTCACATGTTGAGCCTTTCTTCATGTCATGTGTGCTTTTATTGTGAAATCTGTTAGTCCTCAGAGTGTGTGTTGAGGAGGACTCTCAGCTACCACCACATCAAACTAGAACTCATGTGTTCAATAATGTTGGTTAAATGAGTAAAAAGAGCCGGATCTTTACCGGGCCTGTGGAAGTGCTGCATGATGCTCTTGGTACCCAGGAAATGTGTGTTTGGCGTGTTGGGCGTGCTTGGCGTGTTTGGCGTCGGCGGTGTGTGGGTTCTGCTGCTCTGGATGGTGGAACCAGGTGAAGAACCTCCAGGTGACCGGTTCTCCGGCCACTCCCGGGACTCCTTGGACAGGTTCTGTAAAGGACACAAAACAAGGACCGATGAGAGGGTGAAGATGTGTTTAATGACAACTGGGAAATCCTAAACACAGCTGGACCCTCTGAATAACTTGTAAAACCATAACAGGAAGAAGAACCTGCAGGACCGTTTAAAGTATGGAACCAGGACCAAAATCAAAGGTTCTGATAAGATTCAAAACATCTGTCTTAAAAACCACCAGGAGTTATTTTTATGTTTTCTATTCATCTAAAACAACGTGTCTTCACCCTCCAGTAAAACCTTTTAAAGGGGGGAGTGGTGGCGAAGAGGTTAGAGAAGATGGGACTGTGATCGGAAAGTCGCAGGTTCAACTCCCGGTACCGTCAACATCAAAATGTGGGTGGAAAAGGTGAAGCACCCACATCTGCCTCCACCCTCATTCGCCCCACTCTGGGCCCCTGAGCAAGGCCCTTAACCCTTAACCCCCACCATCTGCTCCCTAAACAGGTCTCTCTTGAAAATGAGTTCTTGTGACTCAATGAGACGACCTGGATAAATAATACCTGGATAAATAATAATACCTGGATAAATAATACCTTGATAAATAATAATACCTGGATAAATAATAATACCTGGATAAATAATA